GAAGAGAAAGGAGAAGATAGAAGGAGGAGGAGAAAGAAGAGAAAGAAAGAGACACAAGGTAGATGATGAGAAGGAAGGAGAAAGGAAGAGAAAGAGACAAGAGACAAGAGAAGATAGACAATGAGAAGGAAGGAGAAAGGAGAAAGAGGAGAAAGAAAGAGAAAGAGACAGAAGATAGATGATGAGAAGGAAGGAGAAAGGAGGAGGAGAAAGAGAAAAAGACAGGAGAAGATAGACGAGGAGAAAAGAGAAAGGAGGAGATGAGGAGGAGAAAGGAGAAGATAGAAGGAGGAGAAAGAGAAAGAAGAGAAAGAGAAAGACAGGAAAAGATAGACCAGGAAGAGGAAGGAGTTGCTAAACCTCCAAATTTTGATCACTTGACCACGGGGGATGTTGCAACGGTCGTAAGTGTGAAAAACAGCCCTGTCCCTTTTTTCACAGCCGTTGTCACTTTGAACAGTCCCTCAATGAACTTTTGTAAGTCAAGAACCACCTGTAAGGGATGCCCGTGGGCAACCGGCGGCTCACACCTGTCCCAGAAACGGTGTCTCCTTTTCTGGCTGACGTCCCGCACTTGGTCTTCTCCACAGATGAGCCCAAGAAGGTCACCCTTACCTCCTTCCTGGAAAGCTCCTCGGGCAACCAGGCGGTCCTGCAGTGTGCCGTGGAGAGCTACCCGGCCTCGGAGCTGACCCTCCACCGAGGAAATGTGGTGGTGGCGGCTTCCAGCAGGCACTTGGGGCACTTGCCGGCTCAACGGTACGTCGTCCACGCCTCTCACAACGTCCTGAGAGTGGAGATCCAGAAGGTCCTTCAGGAGGACGAAGGGCAATACCTCTGTCTAGCTAAGAACGCCTACGGGACCTCTGCAGCCTCCATCCACCTCAGGGTGCCGAGTGAGTAATTCTTCTCCTCCCTTCTCTTTCTACTCTATGCCAGACTTTCCCCAAGCCAGGGAGGTATGTTAGGTGGCTCAGGACGATGGGAGTTGTAGGCTAAGATCTCCAACAGGATGCCATCTTCTTCTTTTTCTTCTTCTTCTCCTTTTCATTTCTCCTCTTCCTCTTCCTCCTCCTCTCTTTTTCCTTCTCCACCATCCTTCTCCGCTGGCATCACCTCATCCTCCCCCTCCTCTTCCCCCTCCTCTGCCTCTTCTTCTTCTTCTTCCTCTTCTGCTTCCTCTTCCTCTTTTTTCCTTCTCTTCCTTCTCCTCCGCCACCTCTTCTTCTTCTTCCTCTTCCTCTTCCTCTTCCTCCTCTCTTTTTCCTTCTCCACCATCCTTCTCCACCACTACCCCTCCCCCTCTTCCTCCTCCTCCTACTCTTCCTCTTCTTTTTCTTTTTCTTCTTCTTCCTCTCTTTTTCCTTCTCCTTTCCCTCTGCCACCTCCTCCTCCTCCTCCTCCTCCTCCTCTTCCTCTTCCTCTTCCTCTCTTTTTCCTCCTCCTCCTCCTTTTCTTCTTTTTCTTCTTCTTCCTCTTTCTCTTCCTCCTCTCTTTTTCCTTCTCCTGCTCCTCCTCCTCCTCCCCCTCACTTTCTCCTCCTTCCCTTTGACCTTTTCCTCCTCCCTCTTCCTCCTTTCTATTCATCATACTCATCATCAGAGTTGGAAGGGAACCTTGGAGGTCTTCTAGTCCAATCCATTGTTGAAGCAGGAGACCCCACATGATTTCAGACAAGTGGTTGTGCAATCACTTCTTGAAAACCTCCAGTGACCCTCAACTTCTGGTGGCAAGCAGTTCCACTGCTGAATTGTCCCCACTGTTAGGAAGTTTCTCCTTAATTCCAGCTTGCTTCTCTCCTTGATTGGTTTCCCTCCATTGTTTCTTGGCCTGCCCTCAGGGGCTTTGGAGAATAAGTCTTCTTTGTGGAAGCCCCTCAAATATTAAAAGATTGCTATCATGTCTCCCCTAGTTCTTCTTTTCATTAAACTAGACATACCCAGTTCCTGCAACCGTTCTTCGTATGTTTTAGCCTCCAGTCCCCTAATCATCTCTGTTGCTCTCCTCCGCACTCTTTCTCGTGCAGGGGCCTTCAAACTTGACAGATTTAAGACTTGTGGACTTCAACTCCCAGAATTCCTCCTCCAGTCATGTTAGCTCAGGAATTCTGGGACTTGAAGTTCACAAGTCTTAAACCTGCCAAGTTGGAAGGCCCTTGTTCTAGATGTCTCAATATCTTTTTTATATCACGGTGAACCAAAACTGGATGCAATATTCCAAGTGTGGAATTAATTAATTAATTACTCTATTCATTCATTCATCTATTCATCCATCCATCCACTCATTAAAATTACTGTATAGGCTGCCCATTTCACTATTCAAAGCGAATCTTGCCTCTTGGGAATCTGAAGGCCAGATAAGGTTGATTTTCAGTGGCAAAAACTATTCCAGCAAACTAAACCCAGTTCTGGTCCACAACGTGGCAGCATTCAGACAAGATGCTTAATCCAGGTTCTGACTTAAAGTGTGGTCCACTTTCCAAAATTGGCTTGGCTGAAGATCTCGCCAAATGAGCTGCATTGCAACCCAGCCTAAACTAGCCCCGAACTGACCCAGATTAACATTAGCCCAGTGTCAACTCATAAAATATTTCTCTGGTCTTTTTAGAGTTGCCAACAGAAAGGGAGGGGGAAGCAGTGCAGCCGCTTGCAAACCGAAACTGCATTCCATAAAGGTTTTCAAAGATAGTAACTAGGTGACTGAAGTTTCTGCCATGCAAAATTCTAACTGGAGAGCATGATTGATGATTCTTGGCTATGGATGTGTCCCATTGGAGAATATGGATTACGATACACCCAGGGGGTGGGGGGGAAAACCTGGATCAAGGGTGACAATGAATGATGTGTCTCAGAGTCGACTACACCGAGACAGTGCTGGCATGTTAACCCTCAATAAATCCTTTTTTAAGTTTTGGAAGTTTGGCTCGAGACTCATGATTTAAATGGGGGGTAACTGCCGGAATCCTGACACCCTGCTTAAACCCTTCAATGAGTTGGTTGTGGGAACACAACCCTCTTGTTACAGGGAAGGGGTGGGGTGGGGTGATGTGGAGAAAGCGAGTCAGCAAAGCGGGTGTGCAATCGTTGGTTCTTCACCCTTCAGGTGCAAGAATCACCGTCGACCCATCGCCAGATGTCCACGAAGGCACTCCGGCTAACCTGACCTGTGAGATTGCCAGCCAGGTGGTGGGGCCCATGAATTACACCTGGTTCAAGAACAGCCGGTGGCTTTGGGATAGCCCCGATCCATCCCTCCTGTTGAGCCGAGTGACCAGGGGTGACACAGGGGCCTACCACTGCCAGGCAAGCGGAAGGACCAGCAGTCTGACCTCGGCCATTGTCCTTCTGAAGGTGCACTGTGAGTATCGTGGCTCGAGAACGTTGTGGGCAATTTCGCCTCTCAGCGACGCAGTGGTGGGATTCCCATTTTTTTTTTTTTACTACCGGTTCTGTAGGCGTGGCTTGGTGGCCGTGGCAGGGGAAGGTTACTGCAAAATCCCCATTCTCTCCCCACCCCACTAACCTGCTTTCCACAACTTCCCGAGGCCAACTCCTGTTCCATGGGTTGATTGTTCTCAGTGTCAGAAAATTCTTCCTTATTTCCAGGTTGAATCTCTCCTTGTTCAGTTTCCATCCATTATTCCTTATCTGGCCTTGAGAAATATCTAAACCCCCTTCCTACTCTCTGTGGCAGCCCTTCAAATATTGGAACCCTGCTATCCTGTCTCCCCTGGTCCTTCTCTTCCCTAGACTAGCCAGGCCCACTTCTTGCAACCATTCATCGTATGTTTTAGCCTGCAGTCCCCTCCTCCTCTTGGTTGCTCTTCTCCGAGGGAACAGAGGTTGGAGGGCATCTGCCAACCAGCAGTGAGATTCAATTATTTTTACTACTGATTCTGTGGGCGTGGCTTGGTGGGCGTGGCTTGGTGGGCGTGGTAAGGGAAGGATACTGCAAAATCCCCCTTCCCTCCCCACCCCACTAACCTGCTTTCCAGCTCCGTTCTCCTGTACAGGGCAACCAAAGGAGACCCAGCCGATCAGCTGGGACTCAATGGGAGGCAGAGAAGAGATGGGGGTTGGTGGCGCCAGTCGGAGGTGGGATTGGCCGGTTCTCTGAACGACTCAAAATTTCCGCTACCGGTTCTCCAGTCCAAACTGGCTGAATACCCACCTCTGCAGCGATGGCCATATAAGGAACAGCCCCAGCAGGCAGATGGCTAATCTGGTCCACAGGCCTGAGGCCAGGAAAGGATCTGTCACAAGGGGGGTGGTCCTTGGTGGTCTCTGAGTTTGGTTGCTTTTGTGCAGAGGTTTCATTACCCGACCAGGTGACATCATTAGGACTGGAAAAGAGGGGGGTTTGTGGAGAAGAGGAGCAAGGGGGGAGGGGAGGGGAGGGGGGAGGTAAAGGATTGGATGCTTCTCTGAGCTTCGTTACTTTCTTACAGGCGTTTGATTACCCAACTAGGTAACATCATCAGTGGGTTTGCAGAGGCGGGAGGGGAAGGGAAGGGAAGGGAGAGGAGGAGGGAGAGGACAGGAATAGAAAGACTGTGGGGTCCTTGATGCTCTCTGAGCTTGGTTGGTGTGTTTTTTTTGCAGACATTTCATTACAGTACCCAACTAGAGAGCATCATCAGAGCTAGAAGGGAATGGAGTTTGCAGGGGTGGGGGAGGAGGAGGAGGAGGAGGAGGAGGAGGAGGAGGAGGAGGAGGAGGAAAGAGGCCACGGCATCCTTGGAGCTTTCTGAGCTAGGTGGTTTTCTTACAGATGTTTCATGACCCAACTAGATAACATCATCATGCTAGAAGGAAATAGAGCTTCCTCTTGTTTTATAGATTAGTGGCTTGCCCTGCTGGCGATGGTGGGAGTGTTCTTGGTGGTTCCTTGATTAGGCTGTTGTTTACCCTTTGACTGTTTGTCTGAGCTGATAGTTCCTCGATTGGGTTATTTCTTATTGTTTGATTGTTGATCTGGTGTTCATCTTGGCATTAATCTCTGCCTGTGTGGGTGCCGATTGCTGGCCAGGTGGTGGCGTGTTCCTTTAGCTTTTCGGTTCTTCACATTCGAATGGTGTGTAAACGTTGTTTATCTCTCTGTGCCTGTTGATGGCCGATCGTTCCGGCTGCTGACCAAGGAAGTTCTGCTGCTTCTTGTTCATGTAGATGCACCTGAACGCCCCTCCATGAACACTTACCTGGACGTTCAGAACGGGAGGTTGGCTATCATCACCTGCCAAGTGGAGAGCTACCCACCTTCCAATTTGACCATTTCCATGTACAAAGGAGGTCAACACCTGCCTGTCACCAAAGGCTTCTCACCAGCTGGTCAGCGTTTCCACACCTTCTACTCGTATAACAGGCTGAGGCTGGAGATTCGGAACCTCACGAGAAAAGATTCGGGAGATTTTGTGTGTCAAGCTAACAACATCTGCGGCAATGCAACCAGCAGCATCTCCTTCAGTGCAGGAGGTAAGTCATCTCCCTGAAGAGACAGAGTGGAGATAGAGCGGTTGATGCATGGTGGCTTGGTCCTCTCCAACTTGCCACCTTTGGACTTCAACTTCTAGAATCGCTACCTAAGTTCTGCCAGTTGAGCTGATGCACCTGGAAGAACATGGGTAATCCTCAACTTACAATCATTCGTTTAGTGACTGTTCGAAGTTACAACAGCACTGGAAAAAAAGTGACTTAAGAACCCTGTCAACCAAAAAGATACTCCGTTGGGTCTTTTTAGCTGCCAGCAGAAAGAGAGTGTGTGTGGGGGGGAAACAGTGCATTCCTTAAGTGCCTAGATAACAGATAACAGATAATCAGAGTTGGAAGGGACCTTATAGGTCATCTAGTCCAACCCCCACCCACCCACCCAAGCGGGAGACCCTACACCATTTCTGACAAGTGGTAGTCCAGTCTCTTCTTGAAAGCCTCAAGTGATGGCGCTCCCACAACTTCTGAAGGCAACTTCTGTTCCATGGGTTGATTGTTCTCACTGTCAGAAAATTCCTCCTTATTTCCAGGTTAAATCTCTCCTTGTTCAGTTTCGATCCATTGTTCCTTGTCTGGCCTTCAGGTGCTTTGGAGAATAGCTTGATCCCCTCCTCTCTGTGGCAGCCCCTCAAATATTGGAAGACTGCTATCCTGTTTCCCCTGGTCCTTCTCTTCACTCGACTAGCCAGGCCCAGTTCCTGTAACCGTTCTTCGTATGTTTTAGTCTCCAATCCCCTAATCCTCCTGGTTGCTCTTCTCTGTACTTTTTCTAGAGTCTCAACATCTTTTTGATAATGCGGTGACCCAAACTGGATGCAGTACTCTAGGTGTGGTCTTACTCAGGCTTTATAGAGTGGTATTAGTACCTCCCTTGATCTTGATTGTATCCCTCTGTTAATGCAACTTAGGATTGCATTGGCTTTTTTGGCTGCCGCTGCACACTGCTGGCTCATATTTAGCTGGTTGTCCACTAAGAGTCCAAGATCCCTCTCACAGTTACTGCTATTAAGCCTGGTTTCACCCAATCTATAATCGCCCTGGCAGCCCAAAGTTGTAGGCACACAAAAATATTACTGGAAAGCATGATTGACGACTCTTGGCTATGCATATGTTCCATTGGAGAATATACATCCGGAGGTGAGAGGGGGAAGGCTAGGGTCAAGGGGGAAATGAATGATGTATTTTAGTGTCGGCTGCACCCAGCTAACACCAACGTGGCCATTCCTAATAAATCAATTGTTTTTTTTAATCTGAGAGATGTAGCTAGAGACTTATGATATGAATGGGGGTGGATTTGTTGGAGCCCTGACAACCCCATGGTTACATGATCCGAATTCGGGGGCTTGGCAACCGGTTCAGATTTATGACAGTTGCAGCATCCTGGGGTTCAAAGTCAAGGAGAAAGCCAGATTCACTGAATGACCGTATTATTCCTAGCTTAACGACTGCGGCAAAGAAAGTCATAAAATGGGGGCAAATTCACATAGCAGCTGTCTTGTTTAGCAACAGGAAGGCTGGGGCTCCACTTTGTGGTTGTAAGTCGAGGACCACCTGGGCGTGAGAAATACAGGAACCAGAAGGAAGGAACCTATGTTCCTTCAACCACCTCTCCATCAGTTGGCCAAGAATGAAGGATGTTGGGAGTTGTGATATAGGAACATGTTGAGGAAATTCCCCGTTAGGAGAATGAGCGCATACAGGGAGACGTATTTGAGAGAAGTGTTTGAATAATACACACACAGCACACAGATACACTGTACAGTAAATGTAGGGTTTTACGTCCGGAAAGGTTTAAGCAAAGTTCAAAACAAGCAGTCCAAAGTCATTCACAGGTGAAATCAGTCAGTTTTCAGTCCAGGGATAATCCAATAATGAAGTCTAGTATCAAAAACAGTTCAGTATCAGACTTACATCAAAACCAGGAATATCAGTCAATTAGGAGGAATGGCAATACTCTCCAACAGAAGGAAACAGAGACTCACTGAGACACACTCTCTTCTGAGACTAAGACTAAGACAACCCAGGTTTCTGGCTCCATCTTATGGCCGTTTGAGAAACCACACCCAATTACAGTTTTTTTGCAGTTTCTTAAAGAGGCAGTATTAAAATGTCTATCCTGGCTTATATATTTCCAACCCAAATAACCGTTAGGTGACTTATATTCCTAACAGAACAAGTGAAGATCACAGGTTCTTCACCTCTCTTCCTAAAGCGAAGTGGAGTCCACCAGGAATTCTGAGACTTTCATTTCCAAAACCTCTGGAGGCAGCAAGATACTTCCAGGCCTGCTTGGACCATCCTGGAAGTGGCTCCACTCTCCAGTAGGAAATTGCCCCAAACAACCGTTTGCTTAGAAGAACTTAAGAAAGACACTGAGACTCTAGAAAGAGTGCAGAGAAGAGCCACAAAGATGATTAGGAGGCTGCAGGTTAAAACATACAAAGAACAGTTGCAGTTCATTCTCGTCTAATGAAAAGAAGGACTAGGGGTGACAGGATAGCAGTCTTTCAATATTTGAGGGGCTGCCCCAAAGAGGAGAGGGTCCAAAGGGGATATTCAGCCGGTTCTGACCAGTCCTGGAGAACCGGTAGCGAAAATTTTGAATAGTTCAGAGAACCCGCCAATCCCACCTCCGAATGGCCCTGCCAACCCCATCTCTTCTCTGCATCCCGAGTCCCAGCTGATTGGCTGGGTCTCCTGTGGTTGCCCTGCACAGGAGAACGGAGCTGGAAAGCAGGTTAGTCTGGTGGGGTGGGGAGGGAAGGGGGATTTTGCAGAATATCCTTCCCCTGCCACGCCCACCAAGCCACACCCACAGAACCGGTAGTAAAAAAAAATTGAATCCCACCACTGCCGGGGTCAGCTTATCTTCCAAAGCACCTGAAGGCCAGAGAAGAAGCAATGGATGGAAACTAATCAAAGAGAGAAGCAACTTGGAATTAAGGAGGAATTTCCTGACCTTGAGAACAATTAGCCAGTGGAATGGCTTGCCACCAGAAGTTGTGGGTTTTTAAGAAGAGATTGAACAACCATTTGTCTGAAATGGTATTATAGGGTTTCCTGCCTTAGCTGGAGGTTGGACTAGAAGACCTCCAAGGTCCCTTCCAACTCTGTTATTCTGTTAAAGACCCCACCATCTCTCTCTCTCTCTCTCTCTCTCTCTCTCTCTCTCTCCTCTTTGCCTGCAGTGATCTCTGAACTGACCATCTACAAGATTTTGACTGGGATAGCCTTTGCCTTGATCAGCATAGCTGCTCTGGCCGGCCTGATCTTTGGCGTGCAACAGAACAGCTCCTGGTGAGACTTGGCCGAGAGGGGGTGGGGGCATTGAGAAATCCAGCACTGGGTGGGGCAGGGTCTCTCCCAAGCTCTCCTTTAGGCCGACAGTCAGGTTATCTATACCCATAGAGGTAATCCTTGAATTACGACCAGTTGGCATGCTGTAGTCCATGGGGTCGTGAAGAGTCTTCCTCCTTTAGGGCAGGGGTCTCCAAATTTGGCAACTTTATGACTGGCGGACTTCAACTCCCAGAATTCCCCATTCCTCCTCCTCCTCCTCCTCTCGCAAACCTCACTGCCTTCTAGCACTGATAATCATACCTAGTTTGGTCATGAAATGTCTGCAAGAAAGCCACCAAG